AGGTCACCAGGAAATGTCCTGACGTTCCCGATAGTCAGTCAGCCCGTGTGTTATTGTTATTTTAAATAAAATGTCTGTTCTTGTACTTTGTGAAATACACTTCTAAATAAATGCAACTTATACTCCGAAGTGACTTAAATGTGTTTTTCCTCTTCGTGATGCATTTTTTGACTGATGCGACCTATACTCCGAAGCAACGTATAGTGCGAAAAATACAGTAATCAGATTTAAAGACATTTATAAACTGAACGGGATGTTTTCTCTATAAAATATAAACTACGCATCTAAAGAGAAAACAATAAAAGTCTAATTACGGAGTTAATCCTGCTTAAAGGAGCAACACACATTTTTCTCTTCAGTCATACTGATTGAAAGTGCTTTACTTTTAAAAAGTCTCAATTAATTACAAAGTAAAAACATTTTTGGTCTTTATAAACTACATGAGGTGATTAAAATAAAAATTCTACCTAAAATCAACAGAGTTGAATTCAGAAACAGTTACAGGTGAAATCAGGTTCACCGGTCCTGAGGGAGCAGCTTTACTGAGCCACAACAGAAGTTTTTACATGTACAGTTCGTATTCTGTTCACTGGAGAACTCCTATGTAAGCAGCTCATTCAGTTTATGGTCAGACACACCACCTCCTTATTATTCCACAATATTTCAGCTGGTAAAATCCTGAACTCCTGCTGATTGATCCTTTCTAAACACAACAGACAAAAACACAAAACTGCTGTGTGCAGTAACCACATCAGGTCTGTAAGTGGCGATCTAACAAAAACACACTAGAAACAGGAATCCAGGTGCATAACGCTAACACACACTGGCTACAAGCTGTAAACACAGGAAGTAGGAGACGAAGATGCTGAAGACAAGAACAAGAACTGAACTCTGTGACAGGACAGAAGACAAAGCAGAAGTTCTATTTCTTGTCACTTTAAACCACGATATATCCAGAAATTACTGGGAGTTGCGTTCAAATACGAGCACATAAAGGAGGCTTTTCAGGTATGGCACCCAGTCAGGGACACTTTGGGAGGGAAAGATTTTCCTCACCAAGTTCAAAGCATAATCAGCAAACATGGTCTCTATCCATCTGTCCATCAGAATATAATGTGTTAAAAGCATAGACATACACTATAAATACGTAGACGCCTCGTTGAGCGGGCTGGCCTGTTGCAATGTTACATCAGAGAATCCGCCATATTGGATGTGGCAGATCTGCCTGTCAACTAATACACTGAACTCCATAAAGCACCGTCTAACGAAGTGTTAAATGAATGCATGTCATTCACACACACTAATATATTTGGAAATCAAACCGGTACCAAAGACAACATTTGTAACTTTTAACGTGATTATTAAAAATGCTTACTCCTTAAATGTATAGGTTATAGGTAGTTCAAGTTCAAGAATATTTATTATGCCCAAGTCGGCAATTTGTTTCAGTCAGTAGGCACATTAGACATCCATACTAGACAAGACATTAAGACACTAAAATAACAGAACAGAAATCATCACTGTTCGTTGAGAAGTCTGATTGCCACAGGGATAAATGGGTTTTTCAGTCAGTTAGTCCTACATCTGGGCAGAAGATACCCACGTTCAGATAGAAGCAGCCTAAATTCACCTTGGAGTGACAAAAGAAACAGCTGATCTGACCACCTTTACTGTGCTCTCAGAAGGAATCATCAGCCCTCTGGTTTTTACTGTGAGCAAGTGATCAAATGATGCAGGTACAGTATTGGTCACCAAACTACCATGGCACACATCACAGAACAGCTTTTTAAGGTAAAGACATTAGATCTGGTTTGTACTATAAACCGGTTTGTACAATTCCACGCAGCACATGAATGAGACATCTTCTCCAATCGCTTCATTTTGCCACATCCAATATGGCAGCAACTTTGATGTATTCTTTGATG